TTTTATAGTGAAATCCTGTTGCTTTGCACTGTCAGCCCTCCCTATAACTCACAGGGATCAGTGTAAGCCACACCTAGACCACTGTAGAATTAGGTCTTCCAGCCTTCCCATTCCTTAAAGGAAAAAAGAAGGGTATAGATTTTGATGTTCTAGCTAACAGAAACAGCTATTCAGTATGCCATATATTTATGCACTTTTATATTCATAGCATATATTTAGAAATAAACACACACACTGTACTGAAATACATTGTAACATGACTCCTGCATGCAGTTCTTTTAAAAACAAGCCTTTTGGTACTACAGAATTTACATCAACCTCTTGTAGCTAAATGGTCAAAGCTCCAGCCCTATACTTAAGGTAATGTAAATGAGGTTGCCCAGACAATATTCCATCAGTTAAGCCCAAGAAACTAAAAAGAACATTTTGGATAATAAATGTTATCATAACATTTTGACAGACTAGAACACAGCACAGGAAAAGCAGGAAAAGAAGCATGTATTTTTTTTTTCATTTTATATAGAAAAAATATTTAATTAACTTAGGTTAAGAGGTCATTCACTAACAACAGGATTGAATATAAGCTGACATAAAAAAAGCATCTGAAAGGAAATCTTATATAGCTATAACTTTTATTTTAAAAAAAATCAACGACTTTTCACTCAATCCTTAAGTAGTCAAAAATATTTTCATTGCAAACATACTATATATTATTAAAGGCTAGTATTAAGAAAACACTCCAATACTTTCATGATTGGTCAATTCTGTTAGTTTAAAAATGTATGAAATAGGACTGACCTGGGAAGAAATTCTGCTGTGTCCAAGTAGTTATTTTTTCTTGTACAGGGCGCTTTTCAAAATGCCCTGCAGTTGCATTCTGATGTAGGCCTGCTTGTCTGGTGGCAAATCCCAATTCTCCAGGTTCAGAAAACTTCAGATAAAACTGTGGCTCCAAATCACTGAAAGAGAGGTTTATGGCACCATGTCTTCCACTGCCATAGTCACTGAACATAGATCCGTCCTCGGTGCTTCGTGTCGGTAGCGGGAGAATCCGATGATGGAGCTGCGGGCTAGGCAGTCTTGAAGATAACGGAGAAGGAATAGGTGACATTTGTTTGTGTGTATTAGATAGTGGATATGAATTACTAAAAACATTACTCACTGCTAGTAACGAGGGTGAAGGCAACCTTTTCTCTTCCAGTTTATTACTCGTCTGAGAAATATCAGGACTTTCATCCACAGGCAGGTTCAGAAATAAATGCTTGCTGCTTCCCCGGGATCCCGTGGTTCTTTTCTCATATATTGAGCCTGGCAGGTTTCTGTCTACTCTTGTAATTTGTTGCAGTCTCTTCCATTCTGCAGCTTCATCTAAACTGTCGCTCCGTATAACTTTCAGAAGAGCTTTATTGACTGCTCCCACAGGATTGCATGACTCATCAGTAACATGCACTCGCTCTGCTTTGTACTGCAAACCAGAGCCGTCTTGCTCCTTTTCCTGCAGCAGAGTGTTTTTAGAGTCTTCAGCAGCTTTGCCTTCGGAGTACATATCAGTTCTTGATATAAACTCGTTATGTACTGTTGTGAGAACAGGAGAAATGGTTTCTTTACCTCTGTGAAAATCAGGTAAAGACTCCACAGGGGGGTTGGCAGCTTTTTTAATACAAGCTTCTGAATCCTGTACTTCAGCAACTGTGACTCCTGGTTTCTCCTTGCACACTGGCTCAGTATACTTGCTACTTTTCAAGCTTTTAGCAGCTGTAGATTTACTTAACGTCTCAAGTCTGTTAAATAGACTGTCCTGAGATGATTTTACCAAAGTGATACTCTGTTGTACGTTTGTAACTTCAGGAATGCATTCTCTATTATCCACTAGTTCAACTGCAGCCGTGTCACTGTTGTCTTTTGAGCTAGAACACGGTAAGTCAGCATGCAGGTTCACAGCTTTGTTGATATCAAGAAAATACCCCTCTTCTTTCCACCTTTCTGGTCGTATACTATTGTCTACTGGTAAATCATCCTTACCTTTTACTGTTAGCCAACTGGAGGCAGAAAAGGAACTGGGAAAAGTCCTGGTAGGAAATCTTGTGGGGAGCCTCTTATTCACGTCTTGCACGCTCAGTAAAGAAGGATGTTGTTCATGGATCTTTTTTCCCACTTTCCAGTGTCTGAACTCCTCAAAGCTCTCTTTCCTTCTATATTTCCTCATTTTTTTGTGATTCAAATTGTCTCTATTTGTGGAATCCAGAAAGAACTCCTGCTGATGTGTAAAACTGGAGTAATCGTCACCTTTAAGTTTCAAGACTCCAGAAATATCCTGTCGCTTTCCCTCCTGATGTCCTGTGTTAAGGCCCGGAATGTGATGTGATCTCAAAACACTAGTTAACAGCTTTTCCTTTTCAGCAGTTAGTTTGTACAGTTCAACGAGAATGTCTTTCGTGGTAGTTTGCTTGAAAATAATATCTCCAAAGTTTTCATATGGCTGTTCTCTCAGCTCCATCTTCAACCTCTCCCTTACATGATAGCAGCTGCAGAAACGTTTACTGGTTCTATCCAGAGTTACACAGCTCTTGTAAGTAAATCCTCTGACTTTTCCCTCTGGAAGATAGAAGCTGACGTAACAAAGCTCCATAATGGGTTTGTGCAATTGAAGGACAGTATGCGTGCCTTCCATTATGCTGGCCAAATTAGTCATTCGATTAAATTATGTGCTAAGTGTTTCAAAGCTTGCATGACATAGCATGTGAGGCAGGGAATGGACGGAAGGCATCTGACTAATCTTCAACAATAATATTGTCTGCTGGAAAAAATAGAGAGAAGCCTGTCAAACTTGATTATGGCAAATTTAATGAGACAAATAACAAGCCTGCAGAAGCACAATCTTCCCTCAGTATTTCCTGATACAAATCTTTTACCTTGAAAACTCTGACACAAAAAGGATGACATTGCTAGCACTCATAGTTGGAGTCATAACCTTCTCTCGTACATCATCTCTCTGTCTCCAGGGTTCCCAGTCAATGCTGTTCCATAAGGTTACAAGATGTTCACTAAAACACCCATTTCAAACAGAATTTACTTTTTAATGCTGGAACCTATTGCCCTTTCTCTGTTAAAAGTTAGTGTGCTGTTGAACATTCAGTCAAAAGAACCATTCAAGCATGTATGTTACCTTTTTGGTCAGTCAGCACAACCAGCAACATAACACCATCACAACGTAATTAGCTCTCACTGCAGTACTGTCTATATCTATTTTGATTCAACATGCAAGAGAGTGTAATTGTACTATGACACGCAGGTTATTGAGCTTTGTTATTTCGTTTTTCTTTGCATCACATTGGTTGAAATTGGTTTACTCCTTTTGAGGTCCAAATTGGTTTTTTATCCAGAAGGAGCTTTGCTACCACGATTAAAGCGAAGTCTGCAGTCACTAGGAAATGCATAAGATCAGGGAAAGACCTAAAGCTCACTAGCAAATCCAGCAGCATGCAAAGCTGGAGAGCACCTGTTCTAAGGCTTCCCTTTGTTGAAAAATGTAGGAATTTCAGGTTTCAACTTTCAAAGCATAAATACAGCAGAACTTTCCATCATTTCAAAAGAGTCAAACTTAGGCTCAGGCAACAATAATTAAAAGGAAGCTGTCACATTACCATGTCACATATTGCAGTTTTATGTATTTTTTTCAATATATAAGTATTCTATCAGTTTTCATTTTGCAGAGACTCAGATATAAAATGATACCAATAACTTATCATAAGTAATTAGTGAATCCTAACTCTAAGAAGCAAGCAGTATTTACCCAAATCATCAAATTTACCCTATCCTACCAGCACATATTCATTTATTGCAGTGGTTTTAATCTAAATTTTGTTAAAGCATTGGATCTGTTTGTAATGTTCTTTAAATAGTTTCAGACTTTCCATCTTTGAGTAGTATGACTCTTCATGCCAGCAAAGCTCTTAATATGCCCACATAATCCTTGAAGACAGAGGACAAATCCTAAGGAGAGAGACTAATGGTAAGAACGATCTTCCATCAGAGCCAGATCAGCTTCTTAATTCTGTTCACCAGCAGTCAATGGCATGATTCAGAATCCTGTGCAGGTATAGGAAGGGATAGCAAAGGTGCAAAACCTTTAGTCAGTACGTGTGTTGAAGACTGGCTTCTTGTTTCATAGACCTGTAAGAGTTTCTGAGAAAATTATGCCATACTGTTTCTTCTCGTGTAATTGTTTTAACTCATTGTCTGAGTCTGCAGTTCGAAATACGGACAAAGCTAAGTACTGCCAAAAAGAGCAGCCTCACTTCCAGCCTTCCTTGTCTCCAGCTGTGCACGCGTGCTGCTTTTCTAGTGCAGAACTGAGTGTGTCACTGGCAGATGCAGCAAAGAGTGGTTCTGCATACAGAAATAACAACCATCAAAGAATATTTTCTCATCACAGGAGCAGTCTTGAACCTACTCACTCTTCACCCAAGCAACAGGGAACCCCTTATGGTAGCAGTTTGCCAGTACATCAGCTTAGCCATAGCACCAAGTTGCCCCTCAAGTAATCTACTGCGGTGAGCTCCATCAAATATGAACTAGCTAACTTGTAGACATTTCCATAAACGAATACTCAGCAGTCCTAGCTAATGCATGCTGAGTCAGTTTTTACTTACAGAAGAAGTTTACTGAGAAGCAGAATTTCAAGGGAGTTACTAGGCAGGGAAATGGACGGCACAGTCCATGTTTTCATCCATTGGCAACATGCAGCTGTGCAGCTGTTAAACTGTGAAGACGAAAGAATAGGTAACTGGGAAAAACCTAGCTAAAGTGAGAGTGGATATCCCAAGGAGACCAAATGTATGCTTAGTATTGACTTCAGGAGGATGATGCATCACATCAAAGTATTTGTGATGTGTTTGATTTAGAAAAAAATAGAAGGAAAGGAGCAATAGAAAGAGAATTGTTTTTTAATACATGGAATAAGACAGTCTGTATTATGTATATTTCACAGTCTTATCTAGGAAAAAAACCTTAATGTTAAGTTAGTCTGAATTATTTTATGTGTCCCTCTGTTTCACCTCAGCCGGCATGGCATTTTCTCATCGAAATATGATTATGCGACTACAAGGAGGTAGCATCATGGAAACTATAGACCCAGTAGCTATAGACCTAGACATTGTGGTCAAATTTAATATCCTTAAATGACATCTGTGATATCATCAGGTGCAACTCAGCTCATTTCTGAAGAGTACATTACTCTTGGTAACATACATGCTTTTTTTTTTCCCTGAGATGAAAGAATATACGTGTAAAGGACAGAACTAGGTAGCTCTTGCCTCCACCACACAAATTTGCTGGCTATGCCTCTCCCAAAACACAAGCAGCTTCCCTAATCTAATCTGAGCTCTGAATCATTACATTACTGAAATGAGATCTACAGCTCTCCCTTAAATCACATTGCAACTAAAAGCTCTTTTTTAGTTAGAAACAAATAAATCTATTGAAGATGTTATTTTTTAATCTTACCATCTTTGACAACAACCTGTTATGCCAGCTTAGTCTTGTTTTAAACGCTATATCGTATTAGATCTCTTCTTAGTTACAACAAACCAAACACTGGATTTGGTGCACACATATTGACACATTAAAATGTAGAATCACCTTGAATAGAACATAACTCCCCTTCTTATGAAGAAAAAACTTACACATACTTCAACATTAAATCATTAAAAGTGATTTTTAGTGAAAACCAGTAACAATAGCAATAGCAGAAAGGACACTTTGTTACTATTAGGCCAATGAAATATTCTGTATCAAATTTTTCATTGATTTAAAAGATAATGTGATAGCACGCACTGCTGCATTGTTAGTGGTATTTTGAAGCTTAGTTCTATTAATAGATACGTTCTTTACTAAGAAAATCTTTTTCTCTTCAGTGCCTTCAGCACCCTATTCAGCCTTTTTATAATCTTCCATCAGAAAACAAAGACGTGAACTCCCTGCTCTAAAAGCAGAAGCGTTATAAGAAATTATCAGGAGAATTATGTAAAGGAAGGAAACTGGTTGTCGTAGTTTAACCCAGCCGACAACTAAACACCACAAAGCCGTTCACTTTCCCTTCCCCAGGCAGAGAAAGGGGAAAAGGGAAGGAGGCTCATGGGTTGAGATAAGAACAACTTAATAGTAATAATATAAAATTAAAAATAATAATGATAAATTAATAACAATGATAAATTTTTATATATGTGATAATAATATATCCAAACAAGTAATGTACAGTGTAATTGCTCACCACCCGATGACCAAGGCCTGTCCCATCCTAGCAAGTGATCCCAAAACAGATGAGTCCCAACACCGCAATCTCAGACGAGTGAGAGGCCCGAAAAGAGAGTGGGAGAGAGAGAGCACTCTGAGACCAAGAGTCCCATGGAAGAGAAAGAGCACCCAACTTCCCAGTCAATCCTCATCTATACAGTGGGCACAACGCTGCATGATATGGAATACTCCATTGGCCAATTTAGTTCTCAATCCTAAATCTAAATTCAAATCACAAGGGAAGCTGTGGGCCCTTTGTCCCAGCCATGCTCCCCCCCAGCCTGTTGTGCTCCTGCACTCTGGCAAAAGACGGGAAGCTGAAAAGTCCTTGATGTCTCAGTACCAACTATAAACATCAGTGCGCTATCAACATTGTGCTCATAATAAATCCCACACTAAAACCAAAACACAGAGCTCTTCTAGCTGCTAAAAAGAAGAAATAACTGTTTCAGCTGAAACCAGGAAAATGGTTAAGGACTTTCAAATTAAATTACAACACTGTTTCCCCAGTCTTTCTGTTCACCTTGCAATCTGCTTATAATTCTACTTCTATTTGCAAACCTTATTGCACGGAGTGAATTTTCGTAAATTAAAGCCTCATTCAGGCAAAGTTTACAGCTTAAGTAAAATGCACATTAATACAGGAAGACTTAAAATTTTAACTACAGAACGTATAGCATGGAGCAATAAAAGTAATCTTCAACATGATTGCTAACTGTTTCTCTCATGCAGCTTTCAAATTCATAGTAGCAGAGCAATGGGATTCCGCTTGTGAGAAATACTACTTTAAGGAGAAAAACAGCTACTGAGAGATAGCTAGCGAAAAGCTAGAAAGAACAACTGAAATTGTTAAATAGCTGGCTGAGAAGCAAACTTGCTCTGCTGCTGGGGTTGTGTTTTGCTTTTTTTTTTTCTAGTTTAACAACAAAAAATGTTACAGATTTAGTGCTCCTCAAAGTCTAGGGTGAACACATCCACCCATTTTGCTGTTCAAAATGTGCTCTTAGAAAGCCAGGTCTCCACTGCTGTAGTTCCTTCTCTCTAGCAGGACGCATCATTTGCTGCTTAGCACGACAGATGGTCTTCCTCCTTTCACTGATCTTTACGTAAGTCAGAATTGGAAGTCCTCACTTTCCCAGCTCTCTCCAATATCTGATTGTTAGTAGGTAACACTCTGGTCCAGAGTATGCTATGGCTAACTTTCTATGCTGTGCTATGAAGCTAATTAACTCACTAAAACAGGAAAAGCATGGTAGATGAAAGGTAGTAGAAATGTGGATGGAAGAAGGATCCACACCGCAAGCTAGAAGAAACTGAAATGAAACTGCAGTAATATTTGTTTACTGAGCACTTGTTTGTTAGAGACAAACTCCATCA